AACTTCCGTCTGCAATATGGGTGAAAGTGTCGGACCCATAATTGTCGATTAGTGACACGAACACCAATGTAATCAAGGTATTTGAAAAAGGTCGTGGCCTTGGTCTAATCGTGGGATTAGAGTAGTATTTGTGTGACGCTGAGCTATTCAATCAAAAACAATATGATTGCCAGCGAAATTGTTCTTGCATCTACCAGTTACTGGAGCATCACCAAGAAATTTTCGCCAAACAGGAGGATGGGGCCAACGTGGACTTTGCAAAGGTTTTGATGAAGTTGACCGCCAAAAAACTAATACTACTCGATCTGGGTCGGAGGAGAGTTTTCGGCGTAGATCCACAACCTTGTTACCGACAGATTACAAGCTGGCGCTTTTGAAGAGGCAAGGTCAAGCGAGCAGAGAGATAAAAGAGGACTACTTCAGGAGACGGTGCTTAATCCGATCTTTTTATTCTTTCACATTGTCGACGTAGACATAGAAGGAAGCACATCATCATTTGCCAACGGTGGGGTACTGATGACGCATGCGGCCAGGGCGGATTGTGAGAAGCATGCAAGAAGGCATGTCTGCAATATATGATTTTGCCCTGATGAACAAGATGCAATTCAACGAGACCAAGTTTGAGTTTCAGTTATATCAGAAGAGTCGGGATTGATCACAGCCACCTGGCATGGGACGGAACACTAGTTGGGGCGAAGCAACTTGTTCGCAGCCTTGGAGTAAAGAAAAGTGCCAAAGTCAAGTTTGGTGACCACATAGTTGCTATAAGTGCAAGCGGCAGGTGAAAGATCGATCGAGTGGATCTTGCGGAACAAAAAATAAAACTATGATCAAACGCTTCAGAGCCCCTGTGACCCCTGTCACGGAGTACTGCTGCCAGCTGTGTATTCCGTTCATAGTGGGATCATTGCGGTAGCTGGAAGCGGTCCGGTGAACCTTCACGTCCGTGGTCAGATGGATGGCAGAAGATGTATGTCATCTTGTACACATGGACAATGATAACCGGACTGGTCCATAACTTTGAGAGTGCGAACTTAAAGATTTTAATTTCCGTACCAGCGAGAGAAGGGAGGAACTGTGATAGATACCCTCATTAATCAACAGAGCTGCTGTCAAAGTTCTATTCAGAGGGACAATCGCTTTCCGAGACTTGTTAAAGGATAGCGAGGTGTATGGTGTGTATGCGGTGCGTATGTGTGAAGGAGTGGCGTGTGGAGTGTGTGGGATGTGTATGGGGTGTGTGAGGGATTGATGGTGTACAGCGTGTGTGGGTGTGTATCGGCATTGGCCACAGTTTTAACTTTAATGGATGTATCTTTTTCTGCAGCGGAACCAATACTGTTATTTTGCGCTGTTGTTAAACCTGCTTTATGACAACATGGATGCTCCATCTCTGCCGTTGGATTATGGGAGGAGAGAAGCTGGCGCGTCCAGTGAGTTTGGAAGTTACATGATGCAGCGCTGGCTGCCCAGTACTCCGTCAAGAGGAAGGTTTTCCTGTCATCTTTGCATGTGTGAAGCAACTTGGCGAGGAAACTCATCTACAAAAATAAGAGTTGTGTAGGCTAATGGGCACGTTTGACGTCGAATAGATAGAAAATTGCTGGCCAAGCAAATAACCAAATTCTTCAGTTCGTTCCATCTAAAGGAGCACTCAACATGTCATACCACAAGCAAGTGTCTCAGGTGAGTTGAACTCACGAGTATGACTCACAGCTGATCCTACAACTCGCAGCAGTGCTACACGCAAGTGTTACACTAGTGTCTTACGAAAGAATAGCATTAGATTGTTACACCGTAGTGTGACGCTTGAGTATAACGCGCAAGTGTCACACTCGAGGTTCCCACTAGCGTATCACACGCAAGTGTCACACTAGAGTGTCACACGCAAGTGTCACACTAGAGTGTCACACACAAGTGTCACACTAGAGTATCACACGCAAGTGTCACACTAGAGTGTCACATGCAAGTGTCACACTAGAGTATCACACGCAAGTGTCACACTAGAGTGTCACACTAGTGTGTCACACGCAAGTGTCGCACTAGAGTGTCACACGCAAGTGTCACACTAGAGTATCACACTAGAGTGTCACACTTGAGTGTCACGGGCGATTGTCTGGCGTGAAAGTAGCGCTGGAATGTCAGCTGCGAGGCTGACGCTAGACGCCAGCACCAGAAGTCCTAAGATTTATGGAGCGCTGCTCGCTATTTACGACCTGCTCGGAACAGCGAGCAAATAATAGCCTCAGTTCTGCCTAAAATAATGTGAGCAAAAATAACATGAGGGAAATTTCCGTCACCGAACAATGGATAAAATTTATGACGAGTTCAAACAAGAAGCATTACATCTCTTGCTACGAGTCGAACCACTCTTCTGAAGCCTACAATAATTCGACGACTGAAGATAATTTATTCATTCTAATCACAATATCATAGAAACGCATCTAGTTACATTTTGTTCCGACCTGCAGTCGTCTGTTCTCTTAGCCCTGATGTTAACTTGTCCGTTCAATCACCAGATTCAATTGATTATGCTTATGCTTCACCCAATTCTTTTTTATTATTAATGCAATTCATATTACTTGTGATTATTGCATTATATCTTGTATGAAAATACTGGTATCAATGTATTTGATTAATTGGTAATATTTTGTACTTGCCATTTTCACAAATTTCGTTATCAGGTCCTTCAATACAGCATTCGAATCAGAAATCTTGCAAATTTTGAGAAAAATCATGAGAGGCTGGTAGATAAAAATGTGTGCGTTATGCCAAAATTTTGACCGCAATTTATAGGGTTCATACTAAGAAATTATGGTATGAGTAAGGTCTATTTTCCATTCTAGAACCAAGTAATTACACACTAAGCTACAAACACTGAATTTAGTACCCATCCTTCACTAAACTAACATTGCTTCGTATCCATCCTACACTAAACTAACAAAGCTTCGTATCCATCCTACACTAAACTAACAAAGCTTCGTATCCATCCTACACTAAACTAACAAAGCTTCGTATCCATCCAACACTAAACTAACAAAGCTTCGTATCCATCCTACACCAAATTTGTTTCATAGTAATTCCATTGATACCTAGGAACGGTATTCGAGTTAAAATTTACTTCGACCAATAAAATATACGTTATATACGAAGTTCATTAAATAATTTCGACGATCCTTATCTATGCAAGGATAATGAATGCAGTTCGTGGCAAACGCTGGAGATTTATTTATTTACTTACAAGGCACCTGGGGCGTACTCGCACACGAACATGTCCTTTACACATCATTTGCACGCAATATAAGCGACACGCACACGTCTTGTTCAAGTCATTCATACATCACGAACACATGGTGCACAAATCATGCAACGTCATCCGCGCTTATCATTCGCGCATCTTGAACACGTCTTGCCCACGAAATGTACACGCCATGTACACATCAGACACACGTCTTGTACACGTCATGCATAATTCACAAATACATCGTGCACACTACATGCAAACGTCGTGCTCGCTTACCATTCACGCACCATGGACACGTCTTGCCCACGGAATGTACATGCCATGTACACATCATACAGACACACCTCTTGTACACGTGGTGCCTCAGCAATAGTGCCTGAGATAACGTGTCCATGTGTGCACTCAATCCATAACGTGTCCATGTGTGCACTCAATCCATAACGTGTCCATGTGTGCACTCAATCCATAACGTGTCCATGTGTGCACTCAAATGCATGGCACTTGTAACACGCCCACAATTTTAAGTTCGTGATATACTACGGCCTCAGATATTCTAACCGGCGGATGTGTCTTTTATCACTGTTGAATTTTCACTACTGACTATGTCTGTTGGCATTCCTGCTTGAAGTTTATTGCACCATTTTTTTTAAATTATCAATCTTCAACTCCTCATCTATAATTCTTGTTCTTTGAATTGAACTATATGTAATGTTCAATCTTAAATTAGTATTTCAGCATCTTGCATTTATACGACATTCATTTCAGGTTTCCATTGGCACTGGATTTAAATTTTGTTTATGAACTTCACCTAACCATAGATCCAAGATTTTAACAAGTACTCATATTCTCGCAATTTTATTAATTAAATAAAATAAATTTCAGTCATTTAAAAAATTAAATTTCAGTCATTTAAAAAATTAAATTTCAGTCATTTAAAAATATCAAGAACAAAGTTAACAAAATTTTTGATATACGCGAAATGCGCCGAAATTCTAAAATTTCAGTGAGAAAAAATGGTTTTCATTGCGAATCCCATCATAAAATTCGATATCTTAAAGCAACCTTCATAATTTATGAAGAGTTTAAAGTCCATAAATGTTAAAGTGCAACTTTATAAGAAACAATTACATGATAATTGGGCCCACTTCATTCGAAATGAAGCACTTTAGTTTCTTCATTATGGATCAAAAGTAATATCATTACGCGCGTCTAAAAATATTCGAATTTACTGCCAGCCAATGCGGCCAACAATTAAGAGATTGTTTGTAGAGAGCTTCACAAGAGCGAACAATTATTGGCGCTGTTTCAAGTGTGCGTTAATTGATTATATTATATGGGATACCGTATCTATTTTGATTAAATGAGTATCTTCATGCCACAACCGCATATACAAGTTTAGAATCTGGGATATAATCTGTGCCTCTTTAGTTCTCTTTCTGGGATATTACTACGTAAACGTAATAGATGAGATAAGAGATATTTTTCTTGTATTGAAATTTAAAAGTATCCGAGATTCTAAGACTACGAACATAAATTGAGTATCTGCGTTCGATATCTACATTAGGTGCAGTAGTTGGGCATCTAGGATATCGATGTCATCCTTCGCATCAAATTGCCTGCACTCCTAAAGAAGTTTCAATAATTTCAAAGTGGCTTACAAAAAATAACGCTCGTTTGCATTTACATCTCCAGCCACCAATTAATTTTTACACGAGAGTCGAGCAAAAAGAATATCAAAAGAGAGAGCAAACTAAAATTAGTATACAATATATATTACATGCGATGATGTATCATACAAAGATATGTTTACGATTAGAACTGCACAAAATTAAAATCACTTTTCGGAAAACACATTTCGGTCCTCGCCCAATGCTGGAAGTGTAGTATCGACCATTTCTATTTCAACCTCACATAAACAAGACTTTTATTTAATTTTTCCTAACAAATCTCATTTCCGTCCCCTTTTACAATAAATAACAAGAAAGGGACTATTCCACATTCTGAAAATTACACCTGAAATTTTCAGCAATATAATGAAGTTATAATTGAAAAATTACTTTAGAATAATCTTATTATGGAGGTTACTTTGGGAGTAATGATGAACGTTAAATAATAGGTGCTTTACAATCGACCGCTTCGGCCCAATTACACATTCCACCTACTGGATCGAAAACGAGCTGTTGGGGACAGGTATATACCCATCCGCGGACGGCGCCCCGTACGGTCTTAGAACACGAAATGAATTTCTTACACGAGTCAGGATGAGCGAAGTACCCAGTGTCATAACACCTCACTTCGCCGTCCTTCAGAAGTAATGCCTTTTCTGTGAGGTCTGCCAGCTCTCCAAGGGTTCCGTCGAGGGCCCCGGCAGTGTCGTCGTCGAAGAAGTAGTCGTACTCGTAGTCTGCAATGCGCGATGAAGGTCTTTGGGTCGAGCTTCGAGGTTTGGGTCTGCCACCTCTCCTTGGAGGAGGTCTGCTAGTGGACGTTGTTGTGGTAGAAGGTTGACGAGTTTGTGGAGGTCCCCGATCTACTGGTTTTGAAGAGGCAGTTGAATCAAAGTCTTTCACTTCAACGGGAGTATCCCCAACCAGAAGTTCTTTTTCAATGGTTTCAGGAGCAGTTGTGGTTCTCACTCTGGGAGTCTCGGTTCTTGCGGGATTTGCGGTTCGGACCACTTCGGTTGTCCTACGTTGCGTTCTCTCAGTAGTTACTCGAGTTGGTGCAGGAGTTTCTGGCTGGCTCGTCACCACAGCCTCTTCGGTAGAAGGAGTAAAGAAATCTTCGAATCTGAATGGTGCTTCAGTTCTCGATGGAGATCCTTGACGCTTAAGTTCTCCTTCAGAAACAATAGAACTTTCTGTACTTCTAGAAAATTGATCGTCAGCTGCTCTGACTTCCGAACCCACCGAAATTGTATCAGGAATAAATTCTTCGTTTTCTACTCTTTCACTTTTTAGCACAATTTCTTCGTCAACCAATGAAGATTCAATACTCGGTAAAGAGGCCTTCTCTTTTTCATCAACCACTTTTTCCTCTTCTAATGTTTCTAAATCAGGAGCTGATGAAAGAACTATGGGAGAAGCACTTGTCGGTCCGAATAAGGCCGCGAAAAGGTCATTGGGAGTAACAGGTTTGTCGGCCTCCGTGGCATCATCGAACCCATCAGCAGACGTGGTTTCTGCAACAGCCTCTGTGGTTTCATCGCGCCCTCCGAACTTGATCTGCTGTACTGGTCGTGTCCTGACCCTGGTAGAAGTGAGTGGTCGTGATGGGCGCGTCCTGGGAGGCTCAGGTGAAGCTGATGCAGGAGTTACAGGAGTTGGTGTCAGACGGAAACGTGTGGATGAAGCAGGTCGGTTCGCCAAACGGTCGTCTGGTCGAGACGAGGTTGGACGATTTGAGGGGCGGAAAGCTGAACGCCTCGTCGTGACTTCTATGTCCTGCTGGATACATACACAGATTCATCATATGGTGAAATCTTAGATTTATATAATTTGCTTTGGTAACAATATTGTTGGAAGTTTTAATAGGTACTCTGAAATGCTTCTCCAAAAAGAAACGGAATTAAATTAATGCTTAATTAACATGAAATTTATCTCGAGCATTGAGTTATTTCTATATAATCTACGCCAATGATTTCAATGCCTCGCAAAACCGCGTAAATTTACGTATGGATTTCATCATTTAATTTCTTAAATATGCTGAATCCAATCAAAATATTAAGCTGCTTTCGAGATCTGAAGCTCACTTTTTGGGGGAAACGCAATGTTTAAAAATAATATTCTATGCTGATATTCCATACTCGATCAGGCATCATTATCAGGCAGAATAAAAATGATAACCAACAGTGACTGGAATGAACAAACTGGATAATGCGTCACTTGGTGAAAAACTGATATATTATCAATTTTTCTCTTTTGCTTTAGAATACATCGTTCAAGATGATATTCTCGTCGCTCGAAGTAAAAAGTTTCCATCTCAACTCCGGCAATTGTCGCCACTCATGCAATCCACTGCCAATGAATAGTTCTAAAATGGGACAAAGAATAAGAAAATAATAAAATTCAGGAGATTATGCGCAGTTATCAATGATATACGATGTAAAAATATAATCACACGTAGCATCACCTCAGTCAAGTATCATGTGATGATACGAAGTATCGTCACCTCATCATGTCTTGCGAACAGAAAAATTTTAGTTGTCGATATTTGACATCAACTTTCTCAATATAATCTACTTTTTATATTATATTTATTACATTTTCATCCTAATCTTTTAAATTTATTTTACAATTTCATGGGAGATGGCTAATGAATTTAGAATATTGTTACAATTTTCAAATACCTGATCGAGGCCCGAATTTCAAATAAAGCTATAGGTTTGTTTTAAAACCAATTATCCTCAGGAACAGGAAGAACTTGCACATGAATTTTCATTCTCTTGAGCTCGTACAATAAATGTAATGCCCAGAAAAGTGAACCATACTGAATAACAGCAACATACATGACCCAATATAACATGCGGGGGTAATGTAAATGTACATGATTCATTCAAAGCATGCGGGACAAGATATATATGCCTGATTCATTCAAAACATGCAAGGTAATATCAATATACACAACCGAGTCCAAGAACTTATGACTTATGGAAGCCTTTCAATAAAATGCGTAACCACTACTAATATCAGTTGGCAACCACTTCAGTCAATAGGCGACTTCGAATATAAAAAGTCAGCTGATATTATAAAGTCGGAGCTAAAATTAATACCAATTAATTAGCATTGATTAATAATTAATAATAATAAGTAATTGGTATAATTTAATTAAAACAACCAGAATAAGTAGGTAACTTATAGTAAAAGTATTCAAGCACTAGTAAAAGTAGCCAGCTCTTAATGTCAGCAGGTACACATCTTACCAAGTCAGCAAGCAAAAGTCCATGTGTGTAAGTCAGTCAGTTCCTATAGTTACAGTAGGTAACTACTAGTGTCAGTAGAGTCGTAAGTAGTAGTGCACTGGTAGCTACCTTCTTCCCTGCCCCTCCATTCTCTTGCCATTTCACTTCCTGCGAAACAAATTCTTTAAACCCTCGCAAACGGCATTTTCGGTTTACTTTAATCTATTATCGTTCTTCTTTTTTTGAATTATCAAATATCTTTGAGTTTTATGAGTAGAATTATTATTTTCTTATTGCTTTATTGCATGTTACTTATATCGTCATCTGCATTTTTTTAATATCACTGATTATGAGATCAAAGTGGTTTGAGATGAGTAGATTGCATACTTCAATTTCCCTCTTACGTAAGCGGCAGGATTGAATGTCCAACAATAAGATGACCAGTTGTGATAAAACTGTCAGCGAAAATTTTGAGAATGCAACAACTATCTATTATTTTAAATACTAACATTTTTAACAATAATTTCGTATACATGCACTCTAAAACTGAGAACGACTATTCAGAAATTTACGACTTCTTATGTAAAATAAGTTTGCACCAGTTTCTGCTAGAAGTAAAACTCAGAAAATGTGGAGCCTACAGTCAAAATCACTGGGAAGGATATTTGTGAATTTAGAAATTCATTTTTTACAGTATTGAATTTAATCATGTTAATTTTGTTTCAATCGCCACCAGAGGCATGCAATTCTCTACAAAACAAGACAACCCAGCTAATTTAGTGGAGGTAATTTAGAGCTGGGAAACCGTGCATATGATACAAGTTTTTGAATCTGATGCAAAAATAAGTTCAGAACAAGCACTGCAATTCAATTATCGGTAATAAATTCTAATAGTTACTGTACAAATTCGTCGCTAGCCTTACATGTCCCAAACTATAGAACCCCACGCTAAGTGCAAGTAATGTGGGTAAACCACAACCTCTACATGTCCAGTCAAAAACTCTATTTGCAGCGCCAGTATAACATGGTTAATTTCGGTCTAAACACTGTGCAAAGATTCTACGCTTGATGTGTCCTGAACTATGTTTCGTGCGTTAAGTTTTTAAAGAAGGGATTAAAGTTAGGGATAAAGTTAGAGTTTCAACTTATTGCAATCCAATGCCCACTGCTATATCCCTGAACATGCTCAACCGTGCGTAAATTCCAGTTGAATATTTTCTTTTTATTTTTTACTCAGTTTACAGAAACAAAACTGGGTGAGAATAGTTTGTAGTTTCAAAGAGTGACATGAATTCTGTCGTCATAAAAATATTATGGATAAATTCTGGTGGATCACGCCCAACAATTATCATTTTTTAATGAGGACATTTGACTGTTTTCAGTGGGGAAATGATAAGTGTTGAGATTAATTATTAATAGAGAGAGTATTATCAACTTTTATTTTGCAAACCATTGACTTGTAGATTATTTTATAGAGATAATTGTGTAGTATGAGCATGATTATTGAATTTAATCAAAAACTAATAACAAAAGCTCTAACTTGACTACTAACCGACGCTGGTGTGAACCGTGAACGGTTCCCAGGCGTGAACCGCGAAGTGGGCTGTCTAGCGGGGGTAATTGGGTTGTTGGTACCAGAAGATGGTTGTCCAGTGGGTCGAGGAGGTAGCCTTGCTACCCGCCTGGTAGTGGGCTCGCTCGTGGTGGTTGTGGTGGTTGTGGTGGTAGCGGCGGTGGTAGAGCTTGAAGGAGATGTTACTTCAAATGCCTCCTCTTCATCAACCCTGCGCAAACGCGTTCGATGAAAATTTCCATTTGTATCGTATAAAATACTTCAGTTAATTGCTGAATTTTAAAGGTACGCTTCGGAGAACACAATGAGCTATAAAATATGCATATACAATATACAATCAAATAAAAAAATGGATAGTATTCAAATATATAATGCGCGGCAATGGCGTTCCAATACGTACGAAAATTTATACTGCATGACGGGAAAAAGGCTATTGTTAGAAGAGCAAATTAATTATTGTAAGCGAGAAGAACGTGCAGCTATCAATGGCATGCAAGCGAGCACAAAATCGATTTAATTACACTGAAGTCAATCTTCTCTACGAATTTAATGATCGCTACGTCATTTAATATTTCTTAGTGCAGACAATCACAAATCTTTGCCAACATTTGAGTTCGCATCGTAAATAAACTGTAACCGTGCATGAAATATTACCAGACACTAAATTAATGGTGCAGTTCACCTACCATGAGGCAGAGAATTTCAATATCTGTACAATGACACTAACATACATTGTTCAACGTTATTACGTAGCACCTAATATAAGAAGTTCATGATTAGAGCAGTTGAGAGATGTGTCGTAATACTCTGTTTTCTATTCGATGTATTTGTATCGTCCAACAAGGTAATAAATATAATAAGGCAAAAGTAGAGAAATCCCAAAATTAAATAGCCAACTTTTTCCCAAAAAATTCTGCACCAGTTGCCCATGTTAACTGAGAGGCGATAGAAAAATGAGAAAAAGTAGACAATAAAGTCAATACCACCTGTGTTATCGGTAGAACTTGTACAATCACATTAAAAGGAGGCTGATTTTTGAAAAAAAATATAAACTAAACGCAAAGAAATATTTGATATCCGTTTACACTTTAATTAGATGTTCGGTAGCGATGTCAGACGAGGTGTAACGTTCTAAATTCCGAAGTACCACTCATGCTCCTCTAAGACTACGAGTAGAATCAGATGATGGGGTTTTCAAATGGGATTCCATCTTCGAACATCCATCTATCGATCACAAACCATCTATCAGACAGATTACTATAAGTTAACAAACTATGGTTAATAAGCTTCATTTAGAGCCGCTTTCACTATAAACCCTTATTATGAGTTTCTGTAGCCGGCTTTGAATTGGAAGATACTTTAATGTTGAAGTCAAATTCACAGATTGAATCGATTTCTGGTAATAGATGAAAGAAATAAGCAGGTAAATGGAAGAAATTATTATTCGCTTCGAGAAAACGGCTTCATGCCAGTACCTCGCGGAGTCCACAGCAGGTTCATGGACTTCGGAATCTGGCGAGGCCGTCGCAGACTCTGCCACGGCAGGGAAACCTGCAAGTAGGTTCAGTGTGGTTCTTTGCGTTGTTGGGTCAGCAGGTTCACCAAGATTCTCTTCGACCGGTTCGTCAATACTCAGCTCAGTTGTTATAACTTCCGACTGCTTACCATCAGTCTCTGCTGGATTGGCCAACTGCTCATCTGGTTGTGCAGGGGACAATTCTTTGCCTTCTGAAATTGGGGAGTTCAATACGCTTGGCGTTAACTCCTCTTCTGGAGGTAGTTCATCGTAGTAGTATTCATATTCATACAATTCACCATCAAGTAAAGTTTCTTCTGTCGGGTCACCAAGGACCGCTGTTCTACTAGAAGACCGCGAACGCTCTCTTGACAAAGGAACGGTTTGTGGTTTCTGTCTTTGTTTTTTTCTGGGATCCAAATTCAAACGGTGGATAACGCTCGGAGTTACTGGTTGCAACAATGCATCTGGAACCACAATTCTGGCAGGTCTTGGAGTGGTGGTTGTGGTGGTTGTAGTTTCAGTTGCAGTTTCAATTCTAGCTGGTCTCTGCCTAAAAGAGCTGGAATCAACACTAAGCAAGTTAGATGCCTGCTCAGTGGTAACATCGGGGGACGGGGTAGAGGGTCGGGATCTACGAATAGTTACGTACTGTAAATCTGATTGTGATGGTGAATCATGACTGCCTGGGGCTTGGTTTCCTGCTGTAGGTTCAGTTGTGGAGGGTCGTTGACGTGCAATGGTCACGTAATTGAGTCGAGATGAAGGTGTCACGCTACCATCAGGATAGTCTGCATCTCCTTGCAGGGGAGCCTCGGTCGAGGGTCGATCCCGTTGAATGTTCGTGTATACTGGTGGTCGACGAGCATTGCTGCCCCCTGAACCTGCAGGATCTTCAACTTCTGCGTCAACTGGAGCCACTTGGGATCTTTTGGACAAATCAATAGATTAAATTAATTAGCATTTGCTAGGAAAATCTTGAAAATAATAATTCGAAAAGTTTCATTAAATTAACAATGAAAATTTTTAAAAGCTTCCCTAACACCTCTACCTGTCTCTCGAGATGCTCTGGTACTGCGGCCGGCTGCGAGATTTAGCTCTAGTATCGTCCGCTACGCTATTTTCAGCTGCGCCTTCTGACGCCGTGAGGGCGAACTGAGGACCACCAGAATTACGCACCGGCCTGCAAATTATCAGTGTAGCTTTTTACATGCCATACATACGTCAATATCTGCGAAGCAATGCTCAAAAAGTCAGCAATAAAAAATACAACAAGAAATGCAAGTTAACTGAGTTCAACTGTTCTTTAACATATAAATAATATATGGCTACAACAGCAGGCAATATAACAGGAGTGCTTCAGGAGAGCAATTTGCAGACTTGCATTCTATCATCAGGTCAAATGTGCAGAGACTAGGTCATCACTGCAATATTTCCCCAGTTAATTATTTCATTATAATTCCATCGTGTTCTCAAATTATGAACTCAATTACTCACTTTGCAGTCGTCGTGGTTGTTGTTGTAGTCACTCTAGCAGAACCGCCAGCATTAGTTGCAGCAGGGGCATCGACATAGTCTTGGTCATCATATTCATAATAGTAGTCGTAATCGAAAGCTGGGAAAGGAGTGGTTGTGGGGATGGTAGGAGTTGCTGATGTATCTCCAGCACCACCGCGCTTCTTCTTCTCATCACACCGCGCTCTCTCTGGGTGTTCGCATCCGTCCACAGTTTTGCTGAACACCAGGCCTGTGTGCATAAAGGGTTATAAAGCTCAGCAGTACTAGCAGTAAGCTCAACAGTACATTAGACTTCCACCGGTTCGATATGGTTCTAGGCATTTAAAATCTGAACATATATTTTTCATATCATATCTCTATCATATCATATATTCTTGAAAGCGTTCATACTCAGAGCGTCAACGATGTAATTAGATAGGCTGTTACACATATCAGTGGCTCGAAGAGAGAAGAAATGTTGTCTCGTGGATGTGTTGCAACGCAGTTTTTTTTTTGTTTCTAGCCGTGGCCCCTAGTGTTGGTTCTTGTTTCAAATTCTAGTATCGTTCCTTGCCTTTCAAGCCTGGAATTATCTTTGTTGCACGTCTTTGAACACTCTCTAATAGTTTTTTTTATTTTTAAGTTTTGGTGACCACACGGCGTTTCCAAACCTAGTCTCGGGTGCACGACAGCGACAAACAACTGCTTCATCGCTTCTGCATCTAAGTACTAGTAAGAGCGTCTGATCAGTCCAAGTTGATTGGATTTATTAGCTTGCGTTTCAACATTCTTAGAAAATTTCAGCTCCCTGTCGACATAAAGTCCCAAATCTTTTTCCACACTAGACTTTTCAATCATTACTCTCTCGTTGCAACCATGTCTTCTCACACTGTAATCTTGTTGTTCGTTGTTCTCCCCGAGGCGAAGTACTTTACACTTGTCAGCATTAAACCGTAGTTGCCACGTATCAGCCCAGTTGACTAAACAGTCTAGATCATCTTGGAATTGCGCTTTATTTGACGCATCCTGCACTGCATTATAAACTTTTGTGCCGTCGGCATACATGGAGCACACGCTGGACACTACTTCTGGCAAATCGTTTATAAAAGCAACGAACAAAATGGGTCCAAGAACGCTTCCTTGTGGCACGTCACTGCGCACTGATGCCCAGTCTGATACGGTTCCGTTAATACTGACACGTTGTCTTCTGCCTACTGGAAAATCTCTGATCCATTGGAGTACGTTTCCTAAATTCCCAAAGACACTTTACGCGATAGCCGCTTATGCGGAACACTGTCAAATGCTTTGGCAAAATCGAGGTTCAATGCATCCACTGGCTCCCTTTCGTGCAGCAGGCGAGTCCAATCGTTCAACGTAGACAATAAGTTAGTGGTGCAGGATCTACCGGCAATAAAGCCAAGTTGACAGTCTGCTTAGAGACGGTGAACAGTCAAGTGATCGAAAATCCTATCCCTCACCTCACAACAGATTCCATTACCTTACAAACAGCACTTGTCAGACTGACAGGGCGAGGTAGGAGAATATGAATGCATAATTGAAGGGAATTTCAGTATCTGATTGGCATATTATGAGGATAATAATGCATAACAGACAATAAATGTAGTACCTGAGGGACAGGTGAAGGCATGAGCCGTCAAATCGCCGCCGCTGGCGAGGCACCAGTAGTACTGGTGGCAGTTGTCGGGGTTTGGGTGGAAGCCTTCTCTCTTGCATGTAAAACCTGACATCGCAAATTGCATTATTTAATTATCATTGCATTAAATTAAATTGCATTATCATTGCATTATTTTTCTTGACTAATTAATGCTATATGATGCGGGTGGTTCTTGGAATATTATATTAAACTACGTGCATCATTTCCATACGTGTAGTATAGGAATCGTGTATTTCATGTGTTACATTTTTTTAATTCATTATTTGCGAACTTTGAGGATTTATCTTCAATCAGAAGAAGTGCGTTTTGCCTGAAACATCGGTAACAACAATCTCCCTGAAATACTTTATATACGCAGAAAGTTTTCGATGTCGAGCAGCAATGACAACTTTAATTTAGCGCCAACCAGGTAAATTCAAACATAATATGCGAATAATACTTTTTATGAAAATTTTCAATTTATTGAAAATAAATGCAACTATTTTGAAAAAAAAAACAAAGGGTCTGAACGATTTCGAAATTTTTTAAGGGTTTTCACATCAAGACGAAAATTTTTAATAGTATAGGAGAATAATTTCTTATGTCCGTTACTCACTGGGCACTGGGCTGGGGGTGGTCGGGGGCGCGGGGGTCGAGAAAAGGTCTGAAGTCCACTTAGACCTGAGGAAAAAATCATGTGCGATAAAAACACAAAACCATCGGGAACGATGCGAAATTTTTTATTATCATTATTATGACATTGGAAATTATAGAAATTTGACTCGCCCACTTAGAAGTAAATTGGTCTTTGAACTGATAGACCTTGGGTAGCCCAATACATTAATATATGTGTTTTATACCAGTTGTAGAGCTGTCGTGCGACTGAGTTGAACGATTTTACTAACCTCAAATTGATAAGAAATGTTAAGTATTCAATACAACCTCCAACTTTATTTTGTACATGTTATTCATGTTTTCCATGTCTTTATTCAATTATGTTTTTAGTTCTGGCATTTAGCTCTTCCAACATAAATTCCAAAACAAGTGAATGAAACGAACATTATTTCCAAGTAGATCATTAGAATTAATGCAAATACCGTAAAACAGAAAAGTTTATAATCGTTTGCTCGTCGCAGCTTGTGTCATCAATAGCATAAATGTCATAAGATTTTGGCATAGCGTGCATAGAACTCGTTGTAGCCCTCAGAGCAAGTAACCTCCATTAAATTATACATTCGTTATCCAACATTTTCACTAAACTATCCTCCAACGTAATGATCGTGATGTAAAAATCATAATGTAAGGATTATAATGCAAAAATCGTAAGATAATGATTTTAAATAATGATCTTATTGTAATCATCGTAATGTAATGATCGTAATGTAATGGTCGTAATGTAATGATCGTACTGTAATGATCGTAATGTAATGATCTTATTGTAATTATCGTAATGCAATGATCTGATTGTAATGATCGTATTGTAATTATCGTAACGTAATTATCGCGATCTGATGATCTTATTATAATGATCTTATTGTAATGATCTTATTGTAATGACCTGATTGTAATGATCGTAATGTAATGATCTTATTGTAATGATCTTATTGTAATGATCATAATGTAATGACCGTCACCATATCCCATCATTACCCAGCATCGAGCGCGTTAAGCTGCGTATGAGCGTCGCTGAGCAGCGCCGCCTTGCCAGTCTCGACGAGCAGGTAGGGGCGGCCGCTGCACACCCCGTGGAAGTCGTCCGTGTCCAGACTCCAGAACATGATGCCCCCCAGCCCGTTGTCGCGTACGTACGCTGCCTGCGGTATATATTGTAAATTATTGGTCATTAATTGTGATAATTTGAATATCGTGGTCCAGCACATACTAATATACCTCGACTGCGGCATGAATAGGGTATGTATCGAAAGTTATACGTTATTGATCTTGATAATTTTAAAATCGAGGTCCGGCAAATTCACTGCCTGCGGGAATGCATCGTAAATTATGTGTTATTGTTGGTGATAATTTTTATATCGTGGCCCCGTAACGTACCCCACCTGCACCATATGGACGGCGTCAATGGTAAATTATATGTCATTGATTGTGATAATTTCGAAGTCGTTGCCCGTATATAACCCGTCTGCGACATATGGAAGGCATGTATCGTATATTATATGTTTTCGATCGTGACAATTTTGATATCGGTGTTCCACACGTATGCCACCTGTGGGAATTTATCGTAAATTGTACGTAATTGCTCGTTATGATTTTAATAACGAAGTCAAACACGTACACGCACGGCCTGCGGAAATTTATCGTAAATTATACGTTATTGATAGTGATTATTTTAATATCAAGGACCTGCACTTATCTCAACCTGCCTGTGTGAATATGTGCTATAAATACCGTGAATTGCACGTCGTTCATTGAAATAATTTGATACTCAGATATTTTATTTTTGAGTTATTAATTGAGCGCAATGAAAATATATTGTTAGAATTATCATTTTTTCGTATATGCTGGCTCCCAGAAAAGATGTAAGATCCTTCTTCTTGGTTTTGATCACATCAAACTCAGTAGCTTGCTAGCCATTCTTTCTAAACTAACCAATAGTTGAGAGTACATCAGAAATCAAATAATTTCTAATATACATAAAAATAAGTCGGAATATCGTTACACATCGCAAACACCTTACAGAAAAGGAATTTTCATCTACGGCTGATGTTGCTGATAATTACACTAATTATATTAATCTCTTTACATATTCCAAACAGCTAACAGAAAACCATTCATCATCTTTCATCATTATTAACGACTGATCTGGCTACTAATTTTGGCGAGGGAAGAACCCACCTTGGTAGCCACGATGCCCTCGTCGTCATAGCCCACCCACTGGTCGTCCTTGTGGGCGAACGGGCCCATCGAGCGAGGGAAGGGCTTCTGGGCGGCCCACCCGCCCACTGACATCGCCTCGCACACCTGCGAGGTGGGGCAGGTTATGTGATTAGGAGGTTAATTAAAAAAAGTAATAAATCAAATGAACAGCAATAAATGCATCGCGAAATTCTATCCTCATTCGAAAATAGTGCACTCGGCGTGGGGATCACGAGTCACCTTGTAGAAGGCCATACCTCACAGAAGGCCATACCTCATAGAAGGCCATACCTCATAGAAGGCTATAGAAGGCCATACCTCATAGAAGACCATACCTCATAGAAGACCATACCTCATAGAAGGCCATACCTCATAGAAGACCATACCTCATAGAAGGCCATACCTCATAGAAGGCCATACCTCATAGAAGGCCATACCTCGTAGAAGGCCATGAAGCCGTCCTCGCTGGTGTAGTTGCCGGCGGTGCCCGGCCCCAGAGCGGCGGAGCCGTAGTCGCTGAAGGCTGCGTCGGCGAGGGTGAAGGAGCGCCCGTACGTCGGGATCCCCACCACGAGCTTCAGGCGGTCCGCCCCCAACTGTAGGTAGTACTTCACCGTCCAGTCCTGGGGGGGATTATCTTAGTGACTCACCACCCTCACTCATCACTCTCACTCACTACCCTCACTCACCACCCTCACTCACCACCCTCACTCACCACCCTCACTCACCACCCTCACTCACCACCCTCACTCACCACCCTCACTCACCACCCTCACTCACCACCCTCA